CATTGCACAGAAAACAGAGTTAACCAGAATGATATTATGACTTCAGGTAGTTCTTCAAAAACCAAAGAGAATCCAACACCAAGTTATGAGAGAAATTTTATTCAGAGACCCCATCATTGCCCTTTAAAGACCGCTTGGCAGTATGTCTCAGGTAATATTAGGTTTGTTATGTGTAATTTGCAGCCTTACATGACATTATATAAGCGTTAAGTTGTATACCACAGTATAGCCAAGACTGAGTGATTAGAGTAGACCATCTAAAAAGTGTCTCCTAATCATGTATCAATGTCATGTGCTATGTTGAATGTGACACCCTGTAAATTCAGATGGATTTTGATTGGCTGTCCAGTGTTTTTATCATTCATTCCAATCGCTCTGAAAGTGAACCAATGATATTGTTTTCCACCTGTCCGTGTTGCCGTGTTGTGCTCCACTTTTGTTATGACGGTTTTTAAACGATACATATTTAATAGTTGTTGTTATAGTTATCGTTCTAGAGGTGGGCAGCCGTTAAGTCACATGTTATTTAACCAATGACGGCAAATAGTTTATTGATTTTTGTATTTTTTTTTATTTGATGCTCGACTTTTTAATATGAATGCGGTCTTGCTGACACTATCCAATTGATTGTGGTGAGCTTAAACCCTGATTAATCAAATTCTCTGACGTACTTGAACCAATCTGCTCACACACAACTGAGAAAGCAAATAAAAGTGTCAGAATGATCGATTGGAGTGACATCATTTCTCTGAGGAGGACCCAAACACACATCATGTTAATGCTTGTCATAGCAGGTAGCTGTGATTCCACACATACTGTACGAGCTGTGCTCATATAGAGGTGATGTTTGCATAGTTGGGGTTCCTATCTACCTATAACTATCTTGACAGCTATTGTACTGCTACTTTGGTACAGACATTCAGGGTACCCAGAGGAGGAATCCTAGTCTTTTTGTGATCCTCAAACTTTAAATTTTTTCCCCAATAGTGGTAAGAATCTAATGATGGCACATTTTCTATCACTTATTCAGTTTTCCAGTGTGTTAGGACCATTACAGTCAAGTAATCTTTCGAATCAGCATGTAATTCTTTCATCTTTAGCTATTCTCCAGCACATACTGAATGGAAAACAGAACTACATCCTGAATAAAGAAAGCAGCCTTTCCACCTTCTCTTTTCCTCCTGTCACTTCATCTCACCATCTTTCTCTTCTGTCAGCGCTGGGAATATGGAGAATGTTTCAAGAAACGACATGAGCTCAGACGCTAACCTCCCCTCACTTTTGTCCTTTGTCAGTGACTACGACTCTCTTAACGAGGAGGATGTGGCGGGGAACAACCAGTTAGCGTTTGACTTGGCTGAGCGAGAGTTTGGCATCCAGCCGGTGACGACGGGAAAGGAGATGGCTGTGGAGGCTGAACCGGACAAGCTGCTGATGGTTCTCTACCTCTCCAAATTCTACGAGACCTTCAGGAACTCCCCAGGAAATAACAACGGTCAGACTCCTTCCTGCTTCTGTCACACAGAATTAAAACAGGGTCCATTAGCTTACTTGGTTAGCTGCTGTGAAGCTCTATAGCAGTGGTAGTGGGACTCATTTTCTATCATTGTTTTATTAGACAATTTACTTTACAGAAGTGAACCAAATGCTGAGATATAGCCCTATGGTCTATATTTTTAAAGTTTTCTTGCATGCCTTAAAATCAGAAAGGCCTTGCAACCCCCTGTGGAGCTTTGGCTCCAGGGATTTATGGAAAGTAATGTTTTTTGCTTAAAGTGGTTGCTAACAGGGAGAATTAATCATTATGTGTGAATAAACATAGGGTTTATTTTTCAGTAGTAGGAGGCATGAACAATATTTTCTGTTGAAAGTTCAGTCTAGGTAATGCTAATCTCCTTCTGTCACTCATTATTGTGAAAGGACTAAAGCAAACAGTCTGCTAGACATGTTGATCTATTCAGGAGTTTTTGTTCTTCTTGCTTATAAATGTCAGATCAGTCTTCATTAAATCTTCATCAAATAAATGTACAAGTCTGCAAAATGTACCACTATGAAATATAGGAAATGATTGAATTGTTTACAAATTCAATCCAGAGTATGAAAAAGGGATCCAGCCGTACCAAACAAACCGATGGGAAGTGTCAGGGCAGCTTTGCAGAGCACAGCTGGACGCAGTTTCACCCTAACCACCAAAACATTTGTAATACTATACCCAGCCAAAAAAACTGTGAAAACAGGAGCTCATTTCCTTTCATCCATAAGAGAAAGGGCAAAATGGCATGTTTGAGTACTTTAGAGAAGCTAACGGAGGTCACAGCCAGACTGGAGCACACATTTTCAGTGTCTTTCAAATTCTGTAAAAGTCACAATACAGCACATTCTGTTAAGGCATAGGCCCAGTTGCACTTGAAATAACTAAGGCTCAGGGACTATTTTATCCGCTGCATGAGCTAGAGTTGCACGTTACACAACCGTGGTCAGGTTAGTCCGTGCCAGAGACATGACTGGTATGTGTGCTATGTCTGCGGAAGCCATATCCAATCACTCGGTGTTACTCTGGAGGCCCTCGGCCCTGGTCACACCACCGCTGTAAGCTCCAGCTTCAACCACGTTTCACTTCCAGTGCTTTAATGTTAATGTCCTGCAGACGTCTGTGTCACCCACACTGCTGTCACCACAGAGCAATCCACGTCTTAGAGAGGCTGGGAAAATAATTTACCTTCAGTGGACCATTTTCACAGTCCATTCGGTGGGAATTTACTTGCAGACATTTTAGGAGCTTAAGTTTCGTTATATTTAGTCAGCAATGATGTCTACACTGTGTGCCGTTGTGCTTTAATGGCCCTGGGTAATGTTAGTTGTTATGCAAAGTTGGGTAGGTATTTCAGGGGTATTTCTAATGATTATTTGACATTTACAGTCCTCCCCTCACATTGTGCTCATTGTATAACTCTTTATCTATGTGCACCGTTCTCATGCAGACTCCAGATCAGCTAAATGTCAGTGTTATCTGGTGTTGAATTGGATTCTTGTGTGAAATCAAATCAGTCCTTTTGAAGTTTAAAGCCCCCATGTCTCAGTTTTCAATGTCATTACTGCACCTTTCAAATTATTCTGAAGGCCAAGGCTTTGCTTATAAAAAGATCCTGGTGAAAGTTGGTGTTGGTGTCCCTGTTAATGCCACCACTAGGAGCTTTGATTCTTCTACTGAGCAGCATCATTGGAAGGTAGAAAAAAACCCCAAATTAATAAAAATTAGTAGATCAAGATTTGTGATGTGTGATTTTTAAATGTTTATATTCCAGGTTCAAGAGAACCAGATGAAAACAGTGAAGAAAATCCAAAAACCAGCCGCAAACTGCTGAACCAGCCTCAGCTCAGGAAGAGGGTACCCAGGGTAAGGCTGTCTGAAATGCATTTGATGTTGTCGTTGAGGATTAAAGAGTCGATTTCTACCCACCCTCCTCGAGGCCTGTTTCATTAATCACCAGCACACTATTCACAGTCATCGAAATCTTGATTAGATGAGTTAAAGCTAACACAAGAGATCAAGGCACTGTTTGTAATGCACGCTATCTAATCATGAACACAAGCCGTCAATCAGCACGGCGATTAGAGGGATTCGTAATGTCGGCACATCACATTCACTTACATTATAGACCTTTACACTAATTACAATCTTAGTGCCTCATTGTTCATTTGAACACACTGAAACTTACACAATTCAAAGTCTGTGTGAATGACTGTTTCCTGCTGTGTCTACTGTCACAGGATGACAAGAAACTGGAAGACGATTCTGTGAACAAGAGACGGCGCAAGGGCAACCACTACCTCACAGAGGTAAGTTCAACAGGAGCTCCAACACGTAAAGTAGTGGCAAAGAAAAGTCCAGTTATATTTTCAATGTTAAGTTATATTTAACTTCCCACTCCCTGCTACCTCCTCTCTCGCCTCTGCAATCCCCTCTGTGTCCCTGCCATGGCATCAGTTGTCCTGTCACAGTGCACCCCCTGCTGGTGAGGACGGGGAGCTGAAGGAGAACAAGGTTCGCTCCATGGCAACTCAGCTGCTGGCCAAGTTTGAGGAGAACTCCTCGACTGCAAAGATACGCAGCAAGGTGAGAGACGGGCAGTCTGAAGACAGACCTGTATCAGAAGGGACCGTGGCACCCATTTAACTTTTTGACGCACATGAGAGTCGACTTGGATTCATTTCTTTTACATGATGACACATGATTTTGGTCTTATTTATTATTTGTTTCAACCAGAGTTGAAAGAGTTCTCATCACAGCTGACAAGCTGACTTTAGTATGAAAGCAAAGAAAGGCATAATTATTTTAATGTTAAAAAGAACTGAATACCTAATTGTGAAATGTATCATTACTTAATACCTAATGTTGATATTTAAAAGCACTTTACTTATTTATCTAAATGTATGTATTAGGTTTGAATTCCTTTAAACCTTCCCAAAGGACAAAAGTAGTATTTATTTAGAATACATTTATGTTGAAGTGTAATTCTTTATTAATAAATAGTACATTTCAAAAAGAGAATTTCAGACTACCATAAACACAAAGTTAAATGTTTCAGTCCTGTGAAATCAGTGGCATTGAGTATTCAGTATTAAGGAGTGGTAAATATGACTATTATATATGAAGTTGCTTATAACTTTATGATTATGACTATTACTTGCTTCCACACTTAAGATTAGATTAATATTTATTGTCATCACACAGAGTACATGCACTGAGACACTGAAATGCAGTTTAATATCTACCCAGAAGTCCAAAGAACAGTTAAGTGCAGAATAATATACATATGTATAGAGGTAATATATAAAAGAACAGTGAGGAGTAGATATGAATACTCTATATAGAAGTATTGATATATGCAGTTACAGTAGTATTAATATACTGTATAGTGCCAATTGAAGTACAAATAATGCAAATAGTACATGAAAAACATTATACAGAAATTAGCAGCTGAAAGTATTATAGATTACAGTGTATAGACTGTAGGTAAGATACAGTATGGACTAAATATGGACGGATTAAGGTTCATTATAGAGCAGATGTAATTATAGACCCTTAACAAAGCACACTGCTTGCAGGTGTGTGTCGGCATCTCTTTCTGAATAAATATTTGTGAATCCCTCTATCATAATGTAGTCTCAGTATGTTATGGAGCTACTACAGTGAATGTGGAGGAACAACAAAAAAAGGGTGGGAAAAAAAATTGCGCTCTCCTGAGAAACTTTTGCGTTCTTCCAAGAAGACCCCAAGGGTCAAAGCACTTCCTTGACGGAACCTCTGCTCTGGCAGCGTCTATTGACTTTCCAGCCTTATTGTTGTCAAATTTGTGCTCTATTTTTTGTCTCCCCCATGCCCCCCTTATGGGCTCCGTAGTATGTTGAGGTTAGTGAGGCCTCTGCACCATAACGTAGTATTTAACTTACTAATTACTGCCACTCTATTGACCGCTATTCTGTTGCCAACTTTGTTCAATACCTGTATTTTATTTCCAAAGCATGTGAAATGTATTTGTGATCTCTCGAGGACATTTCCTTCTCCTTGAATTTCCTTTCCTTTCTCCTTTCCTTTC